ATGCCAAAAAAGCATTTTTGGACCGATATGTTTGAACGGTGTCATTCTTATTTTAATACGTTCCTTTCAGATATCTACATGGACTCACCAATCAGAGGGCCGAGCCAGTAGACAAGAGAATACGCTAGGAAAGTGTGTCCCGGACAGGTGAATGTCATGGCATAAGCCAGGGATGGATTCACATATCCAGACGTGTAGTTATTTCCTGGTGTGACAGAGACATTTGTGAGGATGTTAAAATACTTCACATCAACATTTCTAATAAACAGTCAAAGAGGTTCTCCTGAGTAACAAACAGCTCTTAAAGACACCGGCATTTGAAAAAGTGCAATTGATTTTCTAATTAAACTTTATTTCCTTAAAAGGCTTTATTTGTATACAGTTTAAATCTACAATCCTTGTTTAAAGGTGCAATAGGTGATTGTCTTCAGAAACATTTTTTGTTATGCTGGTTGAAAGTCTCTTCACATCCCGATAGCAATCATTAAGTTAAGTGGTCTAAATGTATTTGTCTGTATTTATATATTCTGTGGAAGGCGTAGGACCAAGAAATGTTCGTCCAATCAAAATGCTCGGTCCTCCTGGTACTGTGATTTATATATTGTTATTTCACCAGACACTGACGCTTTGACTCCGAGTACCGGCAACATGTCAGAAGTGCCGGTACGCACAAAAAAGTGCCAGTATGCTAAAGACTAAAATACAGAAGTGCCGCGTACCGGCCCACTTCAAGCACTGGGTTTGGGACAACATATGAGTGAGTAAATGATGACAGAAATTTCATTTTAGGGTGAACTATCCTTTTAATGGCAATCGGCAGCATGTTCAGCACTGTCCCTTTAAGAGCTGCACGCATCTAATACACAGGCACGTATCCGTTTTTCTCTCAACTGTTTACCTTCATTTTAGACATAACCAACTGAGTCTATATGTAAGCCTTGTGTGCTTTGACAGTATTAGCGTAAAAGATAACTTAGTTCAATAATCAGGCGTTGTTTAACAGGCTTTTTAGTGCACGCGCTTCGGGTGTATGCGCTCAGAAAAAGTGCACGTCAGAACAGCACGTGAATGAAACGTTTAACCGGCAAGGCTTTAAAGCACATGCAAATAATGTACTTTTGTGACTGCGAATAAGTGCAGTGTCCAGTGAGAGTAACTCTACCGCTGAGTTAACACTGATGTAAATGTATGTGGCGTTGCATATTGAGACGGCGCTAGAACTGTAACTGATTGAATGTACGCTGTAGCACCATACTACGATATTTCTTCAAAAGCAGATCATGGAGACATTTTAATCGTCCATGTCATATCGTCATATCGCACACCCCTAATTGAATATATGCATTTTAAATGCCACATCTTTATTTAATATATGTATTTTAAATATTTAATCATTATTTAACATACACATTCTACATCTATATTTTATTAAAAAAATACACATTCTACATCTATATTTTATTAAAAAAAAAAAAAAATTTATATTTCTATTTTAATATATTTTATTTTAATGCCCAATCCTTAATATATACATTTTAAATATTTAATCATTTAACATACACATTCTACATCTATATTTTATTTAATATGTATATTTGTAAATATAAAATCCTTATTTAATTTATGCATTTGAGATGTAGCTTTTAATTTAATACATGCATTTTAAGTCTACAATCTTTATGTAATATTTACGTATTAATGCACAATCCTTAATATATGCATTTTAAATATATAATTCTTATTTAGAATTTGCATTTGAAATGCAGACATGCATTTTAAATGCACAATCATAATTTACTATGTGCATTAGAAATGTAACATTTTTTAAATTGAATATATGCATTTTAGATGTACATTTTAAAAGTAATCACCTGTATAGGCGATGAATGTCAGCAGCATGGCGAATATGGGAATCTGCAGCAGCTGCGACCTGTTCTTCATGACGAGATAAACCAGGTGAAAGGTCAGGGCTCCGAGGGCTTCGGCGAAGACTCCCTGCAGCGGCGGAACCTGCAGCGACGTGCTGCACTCGGACATCATCAGGTTCTTGATCATGTGCATGTCGGTCAGCTCCATCTGCCAGTACTTCCCGGCGACCAGAAGCGCGGCGTATGCGCCAAATAACTGCGCCGCCACGCTGAGCACGACCGACACGGCACCCACGTCCTTCTGCAGGAGCTCCATCAGTGTCACCGACGGGTTCCCGCTCACGCCCTGCATGACGACGCCATGGACAGCGAGGGATATGAAGAGCATAGTGACGGCGACGTCAGGCCCAAGCGCGCCGGCCCACTGGCCGACCTCCGCGATGGTGTCCACCTCCAGTCTGCAGGCGGCGAGCGCGAAAGCGGCGATGAACTCCGTCAGGAGTGTCCAGCGAGCGAACAACACCCGCCCAACCACACTCACGCCGACTATGGCTAAAAAGTAGCCCAGCGAAGCATTAAGGCCTGACATGCTGCTATTCAGACGGCTGTGCTGGACAGAAAGAAAGATCTGAGCTCAGCAGTGGTGTATTTGCTCACAGCATGTGATAACGTGGCACACGGACACGCCGTGCTCTTATCAAAGGGGTTTTTAGACACACTTTAGGCCAAAAAAACACACTGACCTATTCAAGGCCACCTTTGGAAAAGTGGTTGTTTGCTTTGACTCCCTCTAGTGGGCTAGTGTGGCAAGTGTAATGTTGTTACACTAGATTATTGAAATTATTATTATTAACTAATGGCACTAATGCAAGAGGCTTTTAATTTGAAATTTGTATTAGGGAAAATTGCACAGTGATGAATGGTCATGTGATCACAAGCACAATACTATTGTGTTATTTTTATTTCTTTATACATATATAATTTGTATTTCACTGTTACTGGTTTTGTTTTTCCCTTATGAAATTGTTAATCTATAAAATGTTCAGGAAGCACTGTTTACGTAAGTTTACGTCGTTTGTAAGCGCGAGGGTAGAGCTGATGTAATTTCTGGGCGCTCTCTCTCTCTCGCGGGATGTCATTGCGATGAGAGGTATGTTTTATCAGCTCCTCAAAAAAGTGTTCAAATATGGTTAATTTCTTACTGTTTATGGATCTTCTTTACGAAATGTGTTTGTTTGGTAACTTCTCTTTATTAAGAGATTAGTAATCCAAGTTATGAACGTTGTAAGAGCATGTTTAATCGAAGCATGAATTCATGTAATGGCTGCCATTACACGTGCAGTATGCTGCTGAATTTCGTTACATAACGATGCATACTTAGGTAAAACAGAGTTAAAAGTTTTATCTGTGTTATGAGTTATACATTTATGATTGTGTGAAGTTGTATCTGTTCACCTTTAATGATCCGTGAGAGGTTTGAATGTATTTCCTGTTATATGAATGTACATTGTAACAGTATGCAATGATTGACAGGCACAGCTAGACCAGATATTCTCCTGTTACTACCTGATGGTGTCTGTTATACTTTCATACAGATACAGAACCTGCGAAGCCGAAAGTAAACCACATGACAACCGCATCATGGTGTGAGGTCTCTTTTATTATCAACACACACAACGCAGAAGAAAACCCACTACAAAATGGTGCCGTGACCCGTCGTTTGGTTTGCTGGTGGCTGACCGCCTGGGATGTTGCAAGTGTGACCGTCTTTCCTGGGACTGTGGTGACATCATCGTTGATCGGCGTGACTGGAGCGGTTCATCAGTGACTGGTTTGGACTCTGACTTCTTTATCTTTCGAAGGGACAATTCTTACTGCAAACGAATTATGGACATTTGACTTTAAGGACTTTTGATTGCGGATCAAACATTTTTTTGTGTTTAACAAATTGAGAGTATTCGTTATGGCAGATGGCAAGGATGAAAGGTTGGCATTTGAACACAGCATAATGATGGCTGGTAGAGGAAGGGGTGCGCTACTAACCACTCCTGACAGAGGTTTTCAGTTTATGGGTTCTGAGTACGCAAGCACTGGGAGGGGTGAAACGCTGAGATCGTCAGTTGACACTAGACCTGACATAAGTTGTAGTCCAATAACAAAACCTGGTAGCCCAGAGTGTACCAAACATGAATCAGGACTCTCAAATGACATGAGTAACCTCATCAGACAAATTGGATCTGAAGTTGGCGAAGCTATCAGGGACAGTTTGTTGCAGACTAGACATTCAAGTCTGCCATCTAGTGGTTGTTTTGGAGAAGACGCTAGCATTTCTGACACTAAGATGCTGAATGCAACCATTATCGATGCTTCCAAGTTAAATTTGGTACTGAAGTCTGAGATAACTGCACCACATTATTATCGCGGAGATGGTACAGATAAGTGTTCCATGATGGAGTGGGAAGAACTGATGCGAGTGTATTTAAACAAAAAAGAAGTGGTAGACTCCGAAAGGGTTGAAGAAGTAATAAACAGACTAATGGGGAGGGCCAGGGACATCATTAAGGTCTGGCTGAGCAACAGAATGGTTACTCCGACTGTTCGAAGCAGAGAGCTGGCTGTAATGTTTATTCGACATTGCCCTGATAAGGAACTGTCTTTTGTGTTCAAAAGCAAACCTGCACAGTCGTGGACAGCTTCTGAAGTCCAAGAGAGATTGGATGAGATGCTTAGGGAACAGAAAGTGACGAAGCGAGTTGCGTGTCAACAAACAGCCAAAGTTCTTGAGCCCATTGATGATTCAACTTTTCTGTCTCCTCATAGGTCAGAAACAGCCACACCAGCAACAGATAATAAATAGCACTCTAGACAAAGTCCTGACCATGTTGGAAAAGGCTCTTGTGTGCAATGCACAATCTGTGCGTGGTGGTTGGCCCAAGAATTATAACAAACAGAGCCGTGAATGTAGTTTGTACCAGCAAAGATCACAGTACTACTGCTCACTGCAAGATGTATAATCTCTGCTTTAAGTGTTTTTCTTCTGGGCATATGAGCTTCAATTGTGAGAAAACTGTGCCCAGGGAAAGCGCTGGCAGACAAAGAGAAGACGTGCCTCTGGGAAACTAGAGAGCCTCCATTGGGGGGAGGGCAATGTGGGGCAAAATGAAAGTTCCTCCTTGGACACTGATGTTGAGTCGGTTTATTCATTTTATTGTGAGAATGTAAGCAAAGATAAAACTGTTATTTTTCTAAATACTATTCAGTCAGTGCAGAATGACAGTCTTTTTTATACCAGTGTTTTGGTACATGACAAAGTTTGTCTGAGGGGAATGCTGGACAGTGGCTCCATGGCAACTACTTTGAGTGCCAATGTGGTACCTCAACTGAGAGAAGCTGGAGTCCTGGATCAGGAGTTGTTTCCCCCGGCAGACTTTGTCCTGGTTGGGTGCGGGGGGAAGCAGACTAGTCCTGAAGGTATGTGTGATCTGAAACTTGAGGTGTATGGATTCAATTTTAGTGTCCCAGTCCTTATTGTGAGTGGACAGGTGGACCAGCTTATCATTGGTACCAATGTGCTGAAACCTCTGATCAGAGAGATGAAATCAAATGAGGGATTCTGGAGAGTTCTAGATAAACCAGACCAATCAAATCAGAGTGAAGACTGTCAGTTTCTGGGTATGCTTTCTAGCATCGAGAGGTGGAGGGGTAGTTCTATCCCTGACAAGGTTGGTACTTTAAAGTCCAAGTCTGCTGTGGTTTTGCAGCCAATGAGTGAGCACCTTGTCTGGGGTCGGCTGCCACCAGGGCTGAAACTCTCAGTGGGCAGCACAGTTGTTATTGAATCTAGTACTTCTCGCTGCGTCCATCGTAATGTGCTTATCGGTAGAGTGAGCTGTGGGAAAAATAAGGTCATTTCTGGGCATGGTTATATACTATCAACATTTCATTTAAAAATGTTCTATGATTGCAAAGCCTCTCTTTCAGCTGATGACCGGTCAGAAGAGACCTAGGAAGGGGAGGGGTGTTGGAAAAAGGTCAGGAGCTGTCCGGAAGCTCACTCCTGATGACTGGACTGATGAATGCAGAGGGGCGTTTGAGAATCTTAAGACTGTGCTGGTAAAGCAGGTCTTACTTGCTCACCCTGACTTTTCAAGACCATTCATATTGTCAGTGGATGCTTCGATTATGTTGTGCCGGCAGCTTTAAGAGGTTTGGTCCTGAAAGGGGTGCATAATGACGCTGGTCATCAGGGCCAGCACTGCACTCTTTGGCTAGCGAGGCAGAGATTTTACTGGAACTCTATGGAGAAAGACACAAAACTGTACATGTCGCAATGCAAGAGATGTGTGTTGAGTAAAACTCCTGAGCCGGAGGCTAGAGCACCACTTGTGTCTATAACTACAACAGCACCACTAGAGTTGGTTTGTATCGATTTCTGGACGGCTGAGGATGTCAATAACAAGTCAGTTGATGTGTTGGTAATAACCGACCACTTCACAAAACTTGCATGTGCGTACGTTTGTCCGAATCAAACTGCAAAGTCTGTTGCCCGTGTTCTGTGGAACAATTTCTTTTGTATATATGGGTTCCCAGCACGAATCCATTCTGACAAGGGTGCAAACTTTGAAAGTTCTCTGATTGCAGAAATGTTGAAATTGTCTGGTGTTTCCAAATCTCATACTACACCCTATCACCCTATGGGTAACGGTCAAACTGAAAGGTTTAACCGTACTCTTGGGGACATGATAAGGTCCTTGCCTCCGAGGTCTAAAGCTAATTGGCCTCAGATGTTGAACACACTGACTTTCTCATACAATTGTACCAGGCATGAAACTACTGGCTACCCACCATTCTTTTTGATGTTTGGCCGTACCCCGAGATTGCCAGTGGATGTTTTGTTTGAGAGTGTAATTTTGGATGGGGGGACTGTCGATATGAGTAAATATGTCCAGTCTCTGGGGAAGGATTTAAGGGAGGCAATGTCACTTGCACAACAAAATGCATGACAGCAGCAGAACAAACAGGCTGAACATTATAATCGCAAGTGCAAGGGTCATTCATTAGAGTTGGGTAATAGGGTCCTCCTGGCAAACAAAGGGGAAAAAGGAAAAATTGTATGTTATAACTCTCTCTTTCGCGGGATGTCATTGCGATGAGAGGCACAGCTAGACCAGATATTCTCCTGTTACTACCTGATGGTGTCTGTTATACTTTCATACAGATACAGAACCTGCGAAGCCGAAAGTAAACCACATGCACAACAGCATCATGGTGTGAGGTCTCTTTTGTTATCAACACACACAACGCAGAAGAAAACCCACTACACTAGGCTGACTTTCATTGTAGGTTATTGTTGCTCAATCATTTTTGTACAAATATATTCAGTATATGCATTTTAAATGCACACTCCTTAGTTAATATATGTATTTTTAATCTGCATTTCTTTATTATAAGCACTTTAAATCTACAATTTTTAATATATGCATTTGAAACCTACAATCCGTATTTAATATATGCATATAAAATACATTTTAATTTAATATATGCATTTAAAATGCACAATCCTTATTCAATATATGCATGTTAAATCTACACATTTAATTTATTATATGCATTTTAAATCTACATTTTTATTTAATATATGTATTTTTAATCTACATTTCTTTTTATTATATGCATGT